CAGGGAGACACGGTCAGTGTGAGGAACCCATATGACTGTCAGGGAGACACGGTCAGTGTGAGGAACTCATTTGACTGCCGGGGAGACAGGGTCAGTGTGAGGAACCCATATGACTGTCAGGGAGACACGGTCAGTGTGCGGAACTCATATGACTGCCGGGGAGACAGGGTCAGTGTGAGGAACCCGTATGACTGCCGGGGAGACTGACGCTACCTGATGCTTTCAACATAAACCCAAAACCCACAGTAGCTTGTTAGTACTAGCCAGCACTCTGTGGAAGGTAGCATGCTGCCACCATGCTACTAGCCAATTACATCACGCCTCACACACCAACTACTATTTTCATATGGAGTAACAATGAATTTAATTGGTCTAGAGAGGTTTGGGGGGCTATTCCACAGAAGCAGGAAACTGCCCTAATTAATTACCTGTCACTGCAGGTCGGGGCACATTCTTTATGTGACACCCACATATTTTGATGTCCAGCCTTTGTGTTATTAAGACCGTAACTGATAGATGACAGTCTGACATCACAGGGACCAAAACTTGAGTGCAAAATATGTATCTTAGACTTGCCTGTAAAAGTGCTTTTGGTCCAAACATTCTTAATGAAGTTCTTAAGCGTCAGCATCCTTAATGTGCTGCATTTTAACATCACTATGATCTGCTCTTTCCTCAACCCAGTACTGTTGGGTCAGTTCCAATTCTGGAGTACAAATTGGCAATGTTAGTCTTCAATAGGGAAACAATCCTGAGAAATGCACAGAGAGGGATGTTGGTATGCTTGTATATTGTGTATCTGGCAGAAACAGCTTTTTAGTCTCTGTATACAGAACAATACACTCGTTAGCAGAACCATGCTAACCACTGTGATACAGGTAACGTGAAATAACTTAAACAAAACATATGATACTTGCCTAAAGCACAAATAAAGTGGCTGCACTTGGCAGGGTTCAGAAATTATTTCAGTAATGCTTTCAGAAAAGTGTTCAATTATATGTTCAACGATGTGTTCAGTAATGTTTTCAGTGATATTTTCAGTAATGTATTCAGTAATGTGTTGAGTGACGTGTTCAGTAATGTGTTGAGTGACGTGTTCAGTGATGTGTTGAGTGACGTGTTCAGTCACGTTTTCAGTTGTATGTTCAGTAATGTTTTCAGTAATGCATTCACTATGTTCGGCCACATGACCTCTGGAGTAGGAACATACTGAATTTATGTATTAGCCAAATCGCAAACGCCTCTTTGTACACTTTCTTCTTTTGTCCCCGGTTCCACTCCCGTTAGAAGTCCACCCTTCCTCCGCATTAAGGTGTCTGATGAATGACACATCAAGGGGGTTAAAAGGTGCAGAAGCCGTAGGGTAGTGATTTGTATAATTGATCTTGACTATAATTCCCCGTCGGCTAAGTAACCTACCTGTCTATGTTACCATAGTAACAATGGATCTATGGGAACCATGGTCAACGAAGCCTTCTAGAAGTAATTTGTGTTTTTATCATCTCTGTTTCACTTGGCTGTTTGACAATGACCCAAGCGTGCTGTGAAATGGTGCGGATTATTTGTTTATGCGAATCTTCCCCCAGATCTCTCCCACAAGCCGTGTGTAGCTGACAGATAGCATGATGCAAAATAGATGGTTTACTTTGAAATGATTGATGATTTACATTTACTCACTACTGCCAATATAACACTGCAGACGACGGCAGGCATGTCACACCACCTAGTGCCTACCCCGTTACAGTGCTCAGGAATCAGGGGAGCCATTCTGAAGGAGCGACAATGTAACAGCGGCCATGTTTTAATTCGCAAGAGATACTCAGTATAGGAGGAGTTTAACACCAGTCACCCCTTTGCTCAATAAACCAGCACCACTTGGAGTTTCTTCTACCATGTGAGAAGTGTAACTCCAGATAGTTCTCTTGTCTGATTCCCCGACAGTGAAATGAGCTGCTGAACCACATCCATTCATCAGATCCCCTCTCCACCTTCAAGAAAAGCCTCAAGATCCATTTTTTTCCATGAATTATTCTACTAACCGATGCCTCTTTGCATTCTTTGAATGCCCTTATGTTGCATTGTGGCCCTTGAATAGTTTTAATAGATTCTTGCTTTGTTAGAAGCTGTGTACCTCCTGCTCCAGTACTGCTCACACTTGTACCTGGGCATTCAGTGGAAGTTCAGCCTAAGTCGCACTTACGCCTAGTTGACTCCTTGAGAGCATGTATGTCTACAATGTGCTATTTGCCGCACTTTGTTTGTCTACTCAATATATAAGGAAAAATATGTAAATGTCCATTTGATGCAGACTAAAATGATCGGGCCTCCTGAATTTAATCAGGCTTAGTGGACGGTCCTGTCCCTCAGGTAGAAAGATGACTCTCCACTCCTAGTGGTGATTTGTAGAACCAGGCTTGACTTGATTTTGAGACATACAGCCCTGGAAAAATTAAGAGACCACTAGGAGTGTCTGTATAATTTTTAAAAATCTGTATTTTTAAATCCTGGTTTAATCCTGGTTCTGCTGGCAGAAGGCTACACTGTAAGGCAGCCTGCTTGCAGGCTCAAAGTTTCTAAACAGCAGCACACACACAAGAATAAGGTGAAGCAGGAGACACTGGCAGTAACCAAAAACCAGCCAGGTAGAGGGCAGAAGCAACTTTCTAATGCTAGAGATGACCGTCAACTTATCCGTCAGTGCCTCATAAATCAGAGAATGGCCTGAAGTGACCTTCAAAAAGAATGGGAAACCTTAAGTGGTTTGAAGTGACTCATAACAGGTTCCTAGAAGCAGGACTGAAGACCCATAAAGCTAGGAAGAAGCTCTTCATTAATGAGAAACAGAGAAGAACCAGGCTGGAGAAAAAAAATGCAAATTTTACACACGTGAACTGAGAAATGAGTGAACCTGAAAATTTTGCAGTGGTCTCTTAATTTTTTCCAGAAGTGTATATTTTATTCTTGTAATTTTAGATGGCTAATCTGGCTAAACTGAGATAGTGAATGTAGGCGTAGGTAAACATTAGGAAAGCTCTGAGGAAAGCCAGAGAAGAGGAAGCAGAGCTGCTTCGCAACTCACTCTAACAGACTCCCGAGGGTTAATAAGGGGACAGGCAGGAAACGCGAAGCATCCTTTTCGGTTTGGAGGGAAAGAGAGA